CATTAGAAGGAGAGATGAACAAATCATGAGGAACTCTGAAGGTTTCCCCTTGCCCAGGGGTGACTGATGGTCATGGTATGTATACAGCAAGACACTGTATACCCATGAACACTACAGAAGCAGGTCCGGGTAGATGAAATGACCCGCCACACATAACCACTGAGTAGCAGTCAAAACACAATGCACAGGCTTCTCTGAAGGGTGGTCATGTTTCTCAAATACAGCAGATGGATCTAAGGCTTAAAAAAGTGAAGTGGCTTTGGGGAGAGGAGAGACCTACAACGTCTTCTAAACTTCAACCTACCTCGGCTCCTCTCCTCTGCCTTTTGATCATTAAATTCTAGACTAGCACAGCTAAATATCTGATAACCTCCACGGGAGGCTTTGTGACCCATGTGCATGTAATTCAAGCAACAGTAAGCACTTCATATGTGACAGATACTCTACTGGACACATGGAATACAAAGCTGGAGGAGGCAGACTGCCTTCACCCAAATAGAAGAATTTGTTCTGAAACACACAGTGAAGGGTGTTAAATACCGACTGGAGAGGTGCCTGGGTGACAGTCAGCTGGGCGTGGGACTCAGTTTCTGCTCAGATCCTGAGATCCAGCCCAGACTGAGCCCTGCATTCGGTATGGAGTCTCCTTGGGTTTCTCTCACCCTCAGCCCCTCCAATGCACTTGCTCGCTCACTCTCTCTTTGAAATAAATCTCAAAAATAAAATAAAATAAAACCACAACTAAATTTACTGATACTCAACAGTGAATCCGGTGTCCAAGACTCGTTTTTTGTTCACTCTAGATGGCTGGGGTTGGGAAATTGATGGTTACTAACAATCCTTCTCTTTCATTAAACCACCTGCACTTTTCAGGGGTACGGATAAACCAAAAAGAAATCTCTAGATCATGTAAGCATACAATTTTTTATTAAGATGCTACAGTTTTCAGCTTGAAGTTTAACCTTTTCTGGGCTCATAATAAACTGATTTCTTTCAATATAATTTTATTACAGAGAATACAAAGGTTGTACTTTGATACATTAGTGATTTTTTTAAAGGATGCCATCAGTATCATATACCTATATAGTTGATAAGGAAAAGGAGTCTACGGTTTTTTTCCTATCACCCACTTAAACATACCCCAGAGGCCTTTGATATATTTAGCTTTGTTTTGTCAACTCCTATACTCATCATGCAAGTAGAGAAAATTCCATTGGCTTCTAGCAAAATAACGCAAGACACTGTAACAGTGAATGTTTTTAGGAACATTAGCCATGGATTTCATGATGTGACAATTTTTAAATTATTTCTAGGTACCCTACTATATACTGGTTGCTTTTGTATCTTCAGATTAAAGGTCCTCTTCCCTCCTCCAACCCCCCAAAAACACCTCACCACGAATAGACAGTCAGCAAAGATGAGTATACCCTCTGCAAATGATTCAAAAAAATACACTTTCTAGTCTCAGAAATTCGGTGTGGTTGGCGTTACTTGAGACTACAGCTAGGCTGTCTGTGCAGATGCTGTGTGGAGAGGCAGTCTTCCACATTTAAAATGTTGGAAAGCTAAGTTATCGAGAAAAGGAAAGATGGGTGTGCTTCCAAGCATCGTGTTACTTATGCTTTCTTCTGAATTCAGCTTTAAGCAAATGTTGGCAGAAAAAAATAGGAAGACAAGTACTTTGTAGGATAAATTATATTTAAAGACAGGGCTTTCTTTAGATGTTATGTTTCTTACTTATATCCTGATGGAACCTGTAAATAGGACCTCTTGGGAGACTCAGTTACAGCTGTGGAGGCACCAGCACCATTGAGGATATCTAAAATGTACTAAACGAGATATTCTAGGTAGAAAAAACACACAAAGAGCATTATACTCATTCATTTATACATTTGAGTACTACTGTTTGTCAACATTGTTCCAGGCACTAGCAGTACAGCAGTGAACAAGAGACAAAATTGCTGTCTTCGCTGAGCTTCTATTCTAATAATTAGACTAATATAGCTCAAAATACACGGTGAGCTAGACGGGTGTTAAGTGCTGTGAAGAAAAAAACAGAGGAGGGGCAGGGTGTACTGAAAGGGGTAGCTGATGTGATGGACACCCAAGTAGAGGCCTGGTGTACCGAGAAGCACAGCCACAGAGATGATCTAGGGGAAGAGTGGTCCAGATAGTGGCACAGCAAATGCAAGGGCCAAGGCAGGAATGTGCCTGGCAATTAGAAGGAATAATGAGAAAGCCAAGTGTTTAAATGCCTTAAATTGCTTCCAGATTAAGGGGTTACAATTTGGGGCAAAATGTCAACACATTTTCATAAACTCTTTGGGTATGCATTTACAAAAGTATTTTCCTACTCTAACTACTTAATCCTACCAAGCTTGAAGAAATGAGGAAGAGAAGGTAGAGTGGGTGATCCGAGGTTACAGTGAGGCCTGAGGAAAAAAACTCTGGAAGAAGTATCCCAAACTTAGCACCACAGTTTGCCTCATGCTTCAACTTTGTCATTAAGAGGCACTTTTCTTACTCCAAACAATAGGAATTGTAAAAACAAAATAATGCAACTAACAATCTTAGAGCCTAAAAAAAAAAAAAAAAAGGATCAAATTCACTTTTTTCATTCAATAGGGTAAGCAAGAAAGACCCTAAGTACACCCTAAATTTCTGTTGAGGAATGAAACAATAAATGCAGCATGACCTAGACCCCCATTTTCCAGCAATGAAGGGGGTGGGTATATAACAAAAACAGGTCTCTGATGCTTGCAATTGAACTGTTATAAAAAAAAAAAAAAAAACTCTGCTAAAAAGTGTAACAGTGAAAAATTAGAAATATTCTAATTTTCTCTGGGCAAAAGAATTAGGATACTATGATTTATTCATATACTGGAATTTTCTGCAGCAACTGAAGAGCTACATGTGCCTTAAAACTATAGTGATAAATTTTAAAATGCAAGCAGTCTATACAAAAAAAATGCTTTTTATGTACAATATTAAATACACAAGCTCACAGATACTGCTTCTGGATATATATGGAAGTACCAAAACGTTTCTGGAAACTATGTACACTAACTTCACCTTAGTGATCACCTGAAGATGGAGGAAGAGAAGGGATGGATAAAACCCAACAGTTGCGGCTTATTTTTATTGGGGAAGACACGAAGCCAATACAGAGATATTAGCAACTTTTTTTTTTTAGTAACTCTTAAACACAAGTAGTGTCTATTAAGTATGTGTGAAATATTTCATACTTCTTTTTATTCTGAAAGGAAAAGTTTCCTCCGTCATATTCCACTAACTGCAAGCCAAGTTTCCTTAACCTCCAAACCTCAGTTTCTTCATCTTTGAAAGATGGGTGATGCAAGGCGTACCTGCTTCAAAAATGCTTTGGTGAGTGGCAGCCTGAAGACAGAGCTTCAATCCCAGAGACACCATCACACCCCCACTGAGTCTTCATGCCCCAGCATCCACTCATTCTATTCAATTTCACAGTAAGACTTTTCACAACAGGGTCACAACCACCACCACCCAAGAGGGAAAAAAAAAAAAAGCCATAAAACAAGTCTAGTCTAAGGCATGTAAATGCTACAATAAATTAATGAAGCAGATTTCAATGAATGGAGATGAAAACCTCAGGATACTCCAGCGCAGGACCACCTCTCCCAATCCAGGTTATGCAAGCATTGGTTAAAAACCATAAGAACTGGACAAATTAAGGTCTACTGGCTTAACAAAAAGCTCAAGGGGGTAAAAAAAAAAAAAAAAAAAAAAGTGACACCGGTTAGGCATCTTTTAAGAAAAGACGATCAGATTACATCCACGGGTAATGAAACTCCCAGGCTACACCTGTGCCCAGGTGGGGGCCAGAGCAATCAAAACCCAGCCTCCCCGGGCTGCGCTAGCTCTTCCCCAACTTTGCTCAGACCACGAGGTGAGGCTCTCCTCTCTAGGACGAGCTTCTGCTCAGTCCCACTGATGGGCAAGCCAGTTCCTCCTCCTGCCAGCCCCCTACAGTCCGGAGAGCACGTTCTCCTCTGCCGGATGGAAAAGGGAGACCCATCCCGCTCACCTGGGAGCCTGCGGGCAGCGCCGGCCGCGGTGGGCGGCCCTGACCCCAGATGTGCCCCAACCGCTGGAAACCAAGCCGCGCAGGGCAGGGTTCCTCGGAGCGGCGGAAGCCGGGACGGCCGGCCCCGGCCCCAGCCCCCAGCCCCGGCGAGGCCCCATAACCCCTCCGCTTCTGCGGTCCCCATCTGCCCAGTGCGCCGCCTCCCCGGGCTCCGAGGGCCCCCGACACAAAAGGGGAGCGCGTGGCCCGGGGGGCGGCAGGCGCACCCTGCGCGCTGCAGGAGCTGAAGCCCGGCCACAAGCCCGCCCGCGCCGGCAGCCCGGGCGCGGGGTCCACAGGGCGCCCACCCACCTGGGCGGACGGCGGGCGCCCCCCCCAGCTGCAGCACCGCGCCTCCCCGCCGTCCTCGGGGCTGCGGCGCCACCAAGGGCGCGAAGGGCGAGGGGCGCTAGCAGGCCCGGGGAGGGGGGCGAGGCTGCACCCCTGCGCCGGCGAGGGGCTCCCGACCGCCGAGCAGGAACAATAGCAGCCCCCCCGGGTCGCCCGAGCCGCCCGCTTGCGCCTCGCTCCTCGGCTCCTCCAAGTTTGCGCGCGGCGAGCAGCCGGGGCGGGCGCCAGGCGGGCCAGGCAGGTGGGACCGGCTGCCGCCTGGGCGCCGCCGGGTCGCCGCCGGGTCGCCCCCGGGTCGCCCCCAGGTGGCCCCCGGTCGCCCCGCCCCGCGGGTCATTCATTCCCGCCCGCGCTCCCTCCGCGCCCCCGAGCGCCGGGGGCCCCGCAGGAGGGGAGCGCGCGCCCGACTCGGCCCGGCCGCCCCCCGTCCCCATCCTCGGCGCCCGCGGCGGACAGGGGCGCGGTGGCGGGACCCCCCGGCCCAGAGGCGGCGGCGCGCGCGGGGACCCCGCTCCGGAGCCTCCCGGCCTCGGCGCGCCGCACTCACCCCATCGGGCGGCGGCTCCCGGGCCCGCGGGCTCCGCTCCACCCGCCGCTTCCCCAGGAAAACGCGGCGGCCGGGCTCGCTTCCTGCTCGGCTTCCTGCGCCGCGGTCCCTCCTCCTCCCCCGCTGCGGGGGGCAGTGGGCGCCGCGGCTCCCGGGCTGCGCCGGCGGGCGGGGGCGGGGCGGGGCGGGGCGGGGCGGGGGCGGCGGCAGCACCACCACGTGGCCGCGCGGCGCCGGCCCCCGCCGACCCGGGTCCCGCGGGCCGCGGGGGGAGGTGCCCGCCCCGCCCCCCGCGGGCCCCGAACTCCGCGGGTCGGGACCGGGCCCCGCCGACCCGGCCCGTCCTCCTCCTCCTCCTCGCCGTCTCCCGGAGCCAGTGGCGCGCCCCGGCGCTCTGACCCCGGGGTCGGGGGGGCGAGATCCCGAACGCTCTACGTTTCTGGGCAACTTCCAAGCTCGCTTGTGGTCGTGGGTGCTCAAGGTCCCCGGTCCGAGCCAGTCAGGTCGGCTCAGTCCTCCAGGACCATGGGACAGAAAGTAAAGCCGGATCCGCTCCTTGTCTGCACGGCCGGAGCCGGAGCCGGAGCCGGAGCCGGTCGCTTGCAGCGGCTGCTGACACGCATCAGGTGGCAAGAGGGAGACGCTGCGCGCGCGAAGCGTGGCTCGGCTCAGGACTTACAAAGGAGAAACCTGCCCCTGCGCCCAGGGGCTCGGCCGCGGACGCCCCCAAATCGCGTCTGGGACGCGCGGAGGGCCCCCCCCCCGCCCGGGGCCCCCGCGGCGTCTCCGCCTGCTCCAGCCCCCTAAAACCGGCCTTTCAATCATCATAGACTCCTCCCGTGATTCCCGGGATTTCCAAGCTCCCCCACCTACTCCTTGAGTTTGGGGCTGCTTTTCTATTCACTCTAGTCCCGCCAACCAGCTCTGGCTTAGAAAAAGCCTAGGGTCACCAAAGGCGCCCTTCCTTCTCTGGGTTAGCTCTGCAGCCTTACGCAGGGCAGGAGGCTTTCTAGAATAAATGACACGAGTCCTTTGTGGTGGGATCCACTGGAAGTCATTTGAACTTAAAAAAAAAAAAATCAGTTCCAACGAAAGTGAAATTCACCCAAACAGTTCAATTTAAAAGGGTGCATCTTGGCTGCGACTGGATGGTCTCCCCGTTAGAGTGTATCTGCCTCCTCCGCTCCCCCAAGGCAACAGGCTGTGTTCGCTGTAACGGGTAACTTGTCAAACAGGGAGCAAAAGCTGCGGAACTGGGAACTGCGAAGTGACTGTGCTGCATGGTCTTCCGAAATCACACATCAGAGGTTCTTTTGAAAAGTGATGAATAGCCCGTTTAAAGCGAGCCATGCGCCCCTCTTCCCGTCCTTTATCCCTCGGGAATAAAACGACGCTCTGAGATGTGAACCGGCAAGCTGCTTGTTCGTTTGGTGCTGGCCATTTCTATGATACAGTTTTTCATTATGGTTCGTATTAATGGGCAAATACTTGTGTGCTTTCTGTTCTGCCTTTAGCAGGTCAGTCTGCAAGCAAGGGCAGCTGGCAAGGTGGGATTCGGAGCATGGTGCCAGGTATATGGGACCACCTTCGAAAGCGAACATGTGCATATTCTGTAGGAACAGTTGGCAAGTTGAAGTTTACTATCAGACAGCATTAAACATTCTCGGGACGCCGGGGTGGCTCAGCAGTTGAGCATCTGCCTTGGGCTCAGGGCATGATCCCAGAATCCTGGAATCGAGTCCCGCATCGGGCTCCCTGTGAGGCGCCTGCTTCTCCCTCTGCCTATGTCTCTGCCTCTCTCTGTGTGTCCCTCATGAATAAATAAAATAAAATCTTAAAAAAAAAAAATCATTCTTACAGTGCCCTGTCCCAGGCACTAACCTCTGAGCCCCACTGCCTATGGCAGCTCGCTGGCTCTTGTTGGTAGTTTGTGTGCTTATTCTCCTTAATTTATAATGCCCCCCCTCAAACATCAGCAAGCCCAGCTTTGGGTGTGGAGTTGCTGTGGAGGGAAGGACTCTTGTAGTTAGGCTGATATGCCAAGATTCTTTTCCAGATGCCTCCTCCCCTGAAACTCAAACAACTGTTCAGACCACAGCTGAAGTTGTGCCACCTGCAGAAGAATTGATGGTCAAGTACAGGATCGGACACAGTCTTCTCATTGGTTTGGTTTGGTTTATTTTTTTCCCCAGGCCTTTGAGAACTGCTAACTCATTCAGGATACATTGAACACGCCCTTTAATGGAAACCGGGCCCATGTGCCCAAGGTTTCAGAGAAGGGAGCAAGGATAAAGTGATCATCTAAACTGCCTAGAAAGTTGTTAAAACATTTTTTGGGTGGAACAGCATATTGTGTTTTAATAGATGAATTACCGGCAAAACAAGGTAACTGAGATGTAATATATAGTCCTAGCAGTAGTAAGAACAAAGCTACCATGTTTCCTGCTCCCTCTTTTACTAACCTGCCTTTTGAAGTTCACCGAGTGTTTAAACTTCTCCTGGTCCCACTTTCCTAATCAGTAAAAAAAGAACATTGAACTACATGGCCTCTGAGAATTTTTTCAGCTTTAAAGTCCTAAATCCATTGTCTTAATTTGAGGAGCCATCACAAACGGTATTGTCTTTACATCCTATGGCGAAGCATCATTCTCTAATTGTTCTAGCAGGTCAATCTTCTCATACCTACAAGATCATAAATTCCTAAGAGTGTTGCCATCCAGGATTTAGCAGGGTCCATGAAAGGAGCTGATTGGTAAAGCCAAATTTTCATTTTTGAAATTAAAAAATATCACATCCCTTCTTTCTTGCTCCATCTTTTATCAATTTTGTTTTTCCTCCACATTAGGAACTTTTTAAGTCTGGGCAACCAAGGCTAAGACTATTTGGAATAACAAGAAACTGTCCCTAATAGAGGAAATAGAGGTAGGTATCACACCAGGGCCAAAAAGTAACCCTTTGCTTTATTTGGCTTTGGGTCAGGATCTGGCTGCACTTCTGGGTCTCGTTAGAAGCAACGTGATTTACAGGAATGTGACGATATTGGCTCCGCTCCAGTGAATGGAACAAAAACACAATCAGAACGTTGGAGATGATCTACGGGAAAAAAAACCCCAAATATTCATAGGAAAACCACTTTTTTTGGTATTTTCTTTGGGATATTTCCAAATAGGAAATTATGACATAGGAGAAATTAATAAAACAACTTTAGCATAGCAGCTTAATCATTTAATCAGACCATAGTAATAGACTAGAAACCATGAGCACTTGAAATGTCATCAGTCCAAACTGAGATGTGCTGTATATGCAAAATATACACCAGATTTCAAAGACGTAGGATGGAGAAAAAAAAAGTATCTCATTAATAATTCTTATGTTAATTCCATATTGAAATGACGTATTAGGCTAAATATATTAAGACTAAGTTCACTCATTACTTTCCTTTTTTTTAAGATTTTATTTTTAAGCAATCTCCACACCCAAAGCAGGGCTTGAACTCACAACCCTGAGATCAAGAGTAACATGCTCTACCAACTGAGCCAGCCAGATGCCCCTTCTTTTACTTTTTAAAATGTGGTTAACTAGAAAATTAAAAATTACCAGGTGGCTTGCGTTATATTTCTATCGGATAGAACTGCTGAAGAGTTTAACGTTAGCAGCTAAGACACATTCAGCATCTACTCTATACAATGCATTTTTCTAAGTGATATTTGCATAACTACAATGGCCATGTACTTAATTATTCAACCTGGGACATTTTTGACACTTTTGAGAATGAAGGGGACCAGGCAAATTCAAAACCAGGATACTAGGACAAAAAGCATTAACTGGAACTGTCCTGAACAAACTGAGTCAGTAGGCCACCCTAATGTTAGATCATCTAATCTTTATGTTGAGGAGAAAGAATTTCCTCTGCCCTTCAAGATCTTTCTAGCCAGACTAAAAATCAAATTGAAATGAGACAGGTTAACAGGTGAAAATCACACTTAATTTTGCATGTATAGAGATTCCAAACAGACATAAAATTCCAAGATGGCCAGGCAATGCAAGGCTTTTGTGAGCTAAGGAGAGGGGTAGGGGCCCGAGGACACAAAAGAAAGGAAGACTGCTGGCAGGAAGGTGAGAGGAGATATTTTGAAAACAAGTTTGCCCTCTTATGCAGGTAAGTCTCTTAGGTAAAGAAGAATCTCTGTTAATATCCTCTAATTGGTACAAACAGGCAATTGACAGGGAGGTAAAGAGTTTTCCTGAATTTGCTGGGTTTTTATTATTTTTAACTCAAAATAATCTTCACGCCAAAGTGATCCATCTTAGGACTGTCCTTCGCCCCTATGGTGATACCAACCCCATAAGTACCACTATTTTCCCTACTTAAGGGAACTGGGGCACAGAGGGATTAAGTAACTTGCCTAAAGTCACGCAGCTAGTGGCAATGTTGAGATCAATTAGGGCAGTCTGGCTCTAGAGCCTTCAATTTTGACTCCTGCGCAATACTGCCTGTTGAAGATCTAATATAGATGAAGAATTTAGTATCTATTAAAGTTTTTCTTAATACAGCAACTTGGATGGAGTATTATCCTATTTTTACAGGTGAGGAAACTGAGTTTCAAACAGATCCAGTAACTTGCCAATATCATCGAGCCAGAAAAAAAGTGGCACCAAGAATTGTAGTTCAGGATGCCCGACTCCAGAGCCATCCTCCTAACCACCACTCCATATTGTCTTCAGGCCACATGGATTTATAACCTCTTAGGTATTGATCTCATGCCCTCTCCCAGTTCTGGCAGAGGCCTGGTTAAGAGGACTGGAACCCAGGTGAGACCAACTTTAGAACAGGCAACAGACACCAAAAGCTCAGCCTTGGTCCTCTCCTTTCTGAGAAGAAACATTTTATGGTAATCCAAATAGCCATCCATGCCATCAGGTTGGTTGCTCTGCCGTGTGCATGTCAGAAATTCCAGAAAGTTCTCTCCCATTAAGGCAGTGGAGGAGGGCATCGTGAGGAATTCAAGAACATTGAAAAGGCAGTTACTTGGTTAGCAGAAGACTAAGAGAAAAAATGTTCACAAAGCTCCACAGGCACAAGCAACGATACAGGATGTCAATCCATGGGTGTGCCAGTCACATCTTTTCTTCCGTCCTCTGCAATGGGTCATCAT